AGAGACTTTGGTCATTGATGATGGTATTCAAGCTCCGTTATCCGTTGTGTGTAAGGAAAAGTATCTCTTCCTGGCAACATATGCAACTTTCTTGAATAGAAAATTTGGTAAGGCAGCCACAGAATTGTTATTCAATTGAAATAAAAGTCTATCAGCTTGTTTTATCCAAAGCATGATTGGATATATTCAGTCCTGACTGATTGAGGGATAATAGAAGTTACAGCGTGATGGATTCTTAAAGAGTCTTTTCAGTAACGAAATATACACGCACATAGAGTGATGAACAATATAAATAATCATTGCTTGCTTGTACGCCTATTCAAGGCGATAGTAGTGTTTTATATTTTAGAAATGAAAGTTTACCGTCTTTGTTTATCTTAACCTTAAGTATTAATACGGTAGATATATTCAGTTTTATCTAATTGAGTAAAGGCATTAGTTGCTTGCATAGGTATTTACAGTAGACTATCCTTTATTCTGTAAAGAGCTTCTTCAGTCCTACTGAATAAATCTATAGTATCACTTGCATACCATTTTATTCATGATCATTTCATTTACGGTCTATAAATTTCTTAGAGAATGTTTAGTAAGTTTGGTTGAATAACATAAAGTAAGGGGTCATTTATAATCTTTCAATAATAAACGTTTTTGTTGTTTTTTCGAAAATTTTTACGCTTGTCTACTTTATGACATTTTCTCTCAGTGGGTGGCGACACATTTGCCATGAAAATGTCCTATTTCCAACAAGAATTAGCAGCTTTAAACATCAAGCGATCTCAAAGTAAATATGCTGTATCCATTTCACGCCAACATGCCTTGAGAGATGTAAGTTAACTATTCTATCATCTAAGTCAAGTGAGAAGGAAATTAAAAATATTAAGCAAGATAATTGTCTTTAAGTTGTATTAAATAACCAACATTATAACACGTACGGTATTTTTAATTTTGCTTACACTTATATCAAAGTAAATGAAAAAGTAGACTGATGAACAGAATTATTATACACCAATTAATAGCTGATTACCCTCTTTGACCGCACATTTTAAATATTCAAATAATAATAAATTATGAATAAAATTTGCTTTAATTCTAGAGCATGAAACAACTGAAGAATGCTTCCGCATCCGATTGGTGTCGCCCATTTCAAATTAAATTTCAGGGTGAACAAGGTAAGTCTTTCTAGCTAAAATTATGCAATCATTTGCAGTTTTGTAAATCAATTATTTTAAACTGAATGATTTGCTAGCTATCAGAAATTGTAAATGAAAATGAAAGCAATATTCATGACGTTTAACTTAGGATATGTACACGTCTATTTCATGAGAATTTATAGTTAATACATGCTTCTTTTCGTTTTATGGTGCTATCACAGCTGAAGACCTAGGTGGAGTATTGCGAGAATGGTTTCATGTATTGAGTCGAGCTCTATTTGCACCATCTAATCAATTATTCGTTGGCTTTCGAGATGATAATCAAGCTCTGGTAAGTTTTATTTCCAAAAGCTTCCCTTATTTCTAGCTAATCCCTAAAATACTGTCATCAGTAGATCATAATACGTTAGCAACTTAGATTAGAACTGAATAATCATAGTAATAAGCCGATAAGCTCTCGTTATTGATGAAGTTCCACTCAATCTAAATATAGGATCATTTTTAATCTCTCGTTTTTTATGCATATCTTTTTAAGTAGTGATTGACCTAAATCCGTTGATAACTCATGGGTGATATTCATTCTAGGTTCGTCCTAACAACGCTCGTCCTCCAGAATTCGCTAAAATTAAATATTTCGAATTTGCTGGTAAAATTGTTGGTAAATGTTTACTTGAGTCTGCAATTACTCGAGATTCAAACTGCTATATTCGAGCTTGCTTTGCCCGTTCATTTTTGGCCCAAATATTAGGACTTCGTGTACATTATAAGGTAATTTCTAAATTTTATTTTGATTTCTATCTCCAAGTATTCACGGCTATGCTCCAATTGGCTATATATCGATTAAATATCTATTTTCATTCTTACGGTGTAATATTAAATTAAATGAAATCAAAGATTTGCAGAAAGAGATTAATTTTTATTATTGTGTCTAGCGGATTACGCGTATACTTAATTATAAAATTTTAATGCGAATGTGCCACTTTCAAAAAGTACTTAAGATTGCAAATTTAACAAAGATCAAATATGGTAAAACTAACTAATGCTAACGTTATTCTCCTTTCTTCGGTGTCTTTAATGCTTAGCATTTTGAAAATGACGATCCAGAATTTTTTACCAACAAGATTCAGTACATTCTTAGCAACGATATAGCCGACTTATCACTGGTCTTTGCTGAAGAAATTTACAGCTCGGATGGAAAATTAGAAAAGGTAAGTTGCGTTATTATGCCTTAAAAAATTATTAGCCAAATATAGTCACTTGCCGTTAACTACTAGCAATCTAGAAAGGTAGCCTTGAATATGAAATGTTACGGTTATCGCAAAGCTAGCATACTTCTTGTAAAAGTCATATAAAAAAAAACGTATTACATGTCTTTTGATGTTATTGCTGAGATGATAATATGTTACTAATCTACGTGCATTTCGATAAAGTAATGATATCGTGTGCCATCAGATATGCTATTAACGATAATTTAGGCCACTTATGTAGTAAAGTGTTACTCATGTCATTTTTCAATGTAGTCTAAATACATAAGTATTAAAAAATTATCACTGATTGTTAAAATACTATTGCAGAAGAGATTGAACTAGTGTAAATAAATATGTAATGGTGTCTCTTCTGGATATTATTTAATTTCAAAAGATTATTGAATTAAAGCCCAATGGCAAGAATTGTGTCGTTAACAATGATAATAAGATTGAATACTTGGATCTACTAGCTCAGCAAAGGCTGTGTAAAGAAATACAAGAAGAAAAGAACGCTTTCTTGAAAGGTTATTTCAACTACTTGTAATAGCTGAATAAAATTGAGGGCAATAGAATTCCTCTAGAAGCAATTTGGAACATTTCAAGACATTTTATCGTTAATCTCTAAAATTCTATTTGTAACAGGCCTAAATGATTTGATACCTGATTCTCTTCTCAGTATTTTTGATGAAAATGAATTAGAGGTGAAATAACGTATTTTAGTTAGTTACTGAATCACAGCTGTATAAAGTCCGTTCCTTGTTTTCAATATTAATAATTTTATCTTGGATATCATTGCCATTGCTTTAATTCTTAATACGTGGTATACGCACATGTAAATAACATGTTAATCGATTTGTCTTTGCATATTACAAACATTTCGATAGCTCTTAATATGTGGTACTTGCGAATATGATATTAACGATTTGAAGTTAAATCATGCTGTCATCGGTAGAACATCTGAGTTTGAAAAGGTATAGATTTATTACCATAGTTCTGATTACATGATTCACGGAAGTAGAGTAGCTCATGAAATCTCTTCAACACCTTTTGCAACTATTTATGTATACTTGTGTTTAAATGATAGATTTTATCTTGGTTTTGGAGCACCATTGCCAATTTTACTCAACAAGAAATGGCAAGGTTACTACAGTTTGTCACAGGATGTTCACAACTTCCACCTGAGGGATTCTCTGAATTATCTCCTAAATTTCAAATTGTCAATGCTATGGTTACTGGAACATTACCCACCGCTCATACATGGTAAAATTATGAGCAACTTCGAATTACGGATTAATTATCCTACTTTACACGTAGATTAGCCTCTATTGCTAATCAATATGTATAATTTACTACTTTTAGCTTCAACGAATTATGTTTACCGATATACGACTCACTAGATGACATGCAACATAGTTTACTTATTGCTATCAATGAAGGGAGTGAAGGATTTGGCATGTCTTAATGACAAGAACTTGCTGAGAAGACAAACATCGATGTGATACTTAATAAAGTACTGTAAACTGTTGTGAAAGCAATGCAACGTATTTAGATCAACTGTAATACAGGTCTTACTACTGCGTGATCGCAAATAATAGATTGTAAATTCTTTTCTAAATTCTTTGAATTATAGTCATGATAAGAGTGAATAGGGAAGAATATTTTGATTTAGCAAAAATATCCTTTATCTGGCATAAAGCTGATTTTAATATTAAGATTAATAGAGATCACAATATAAACAATTTATATCAAATCCAGATCCAGTTTATTATACGTCAAATTTCAAATTGTAGGTTTACTATTTCAACTTTTCGTTCTAATTATAATAATTTTATCGCGTAACTATAATGTATCTGCAACTTGGTTAAAACAGATTCACATTACATCTATAAATCAACATGAGGTAGCAGCTGTATTTTATGATGGTATTATCACTCTTGTTAGATTTTGTAATCAATTTTAGATCACAGAAGCTTTTAAGAAATGATCCAACAAAAAGTATATTTCATATTTGCTAGTTTAGCATCAATTTCATTAGTTTTTAAATCAAAGATATTTACATAAAGAAAGGGACGGCTACAACTGTCTCTAATGTCTTCAAAAATATGTAGTAAAGGCGCGCTTTTTAAAGCAACTTCAGAAACTATTGAAAAAAACGTACTGATATTTCTTTAAATTGGGCTGAAAATATAGATCTTGACTAATAATTATAATTTCGGAAATGTAAGTCTACAGGTTCAACAAGATTACTTTCAGTTAATATACAATTTAGTTATTACAAATCTTGCTGCAATGTAGACTACGACATCAACAAGATATAACTTCAACATGATATGGAAATTGTGTATAATTAACATATGCTAATATGAATATTTTCATATGGATGAAAATGAAATAAAATTTATA